GGGTCCTGCTGCGGGTCCTGTGCGCTGTGTGCGGACTGCGGGTCGGACTGAGTGACCTCCTGCTCGACGGAACAACAGAGCGGACTGAAGCAGCAGCAGCAGCGGGTCCTCCGGTCCTCCGGTCCTCCACCGTGTGGCAGATATGAGAACTAGTAACGAGTCCGTTAACCCTTCAACCGCCGCAGACTCATCACGGAGGATTACCGGACACTGCAGCTGGAACTAATTACATTCACTCACTCACTACAGTGCTGTAAACATACACATAAATTACATTTAAAACTTTAATTTCAGTCATTTATAGTCACATAGTAGTAGTATCATTTTTATTATTTTATTATTATCATTATTTTTATTGTTATAATTTTTATAATTTATATTTCATTATTTGTCATTATTATTTTTATAATAATATTGTATAATTTATTATTATTGTTATAATTTTATTATTATTATTGTTATTTGTTGATCATTGTTTCGTTTTTATAATATTATTATTTTTTTATTATTATTTGTATAATAATATTTTAGAATGTATTATTATTGTTATGATTTTATTATGATCATTATTTGTTATTATAATAATTGTTTTGCTATTATAATTATATTTTATTATTGTTATAATTTTTATTATTTCTATAATATTAAATTATATTTTTATCTGTTTTATCAGAATCTTTATCACTTGAAACTGGATCATATTTTATGGAGAGAATATATATATACGTCCTCCACTAACTGCAGCTACATTAGCAGTTAGTGGAGTTGAGGCAGAGCAGCCGGAAAACAAAAAACAAATTGAGTTTTTTGTACATTTTGTGTCATAAATTGTTAAACAGTGGAACAATATAACTGAGGATGTGACCTTAAAGGGTTAAAATGACCTTTTCATGACTTTAACAGATAAAAAACTTAAAACTTAAAAATATTTGCACATGAAACGGAGGCATGGCGTCGGTGTTGGTACAGCAGCTACGTCGCTGTGTGGTAATATTAGTGCTGCTCACATCATCCAGTGGTTGACTGACCTGTCTGTGTGGAGGAGGAGGAGGAGGAGGAGGAGGGTGGTGAAGTCAGGCTCAGTCTGAAGAGTACAATGCTCCTCCACACAGTCAGTGCGAGGGAACGTGAGCCTGTGACAGACGGCGTTATTCTGCAGCCGAGGCCGCGGTGAACAGTCGTGATGGCCGGTGGAGCTCAAACTGTCTGATTGTGTCTCTCTCGGTGGATCTTCGTCCCTCAGATGGTTTCTATCAGATGATGAGTGTGTGTGTGTGACGCTCAGGATTAATGACTCACTGCAGTTACACTGGCCTCATTTCTTTATTCAAACCCACAAAACGTCACGTTCAAGTACTCAGAGCCTTTAATTCACTGATTTTATAGATATCTTATGTTATATTCAGTATATAACAATAATACAGATAAACTCTAAATATTGAACTCAATAATTACAGGAAGTTTATGTAAAAGGAGCAGTTTGGAGGAGTTTTGAGCAGATTATTTCCTGTTAATATTGATTACAGATGAGTTTTAGGAACTTTTTATACAATTCTGTGTCATTTTTAACAATCGTACATATTTAAAAGGCTTTTTTGGGTTGTTTTAACTTTTCTTACGCAGAGATTAAAGACTCGACTGTGTTCAGCTCTTCAAAGTTTATAAATTAATAATATAAACTTAAAATTAATTTAATTAACGTATTCATTTAGTTTTCTTCACAGAAATGGAAACATGCTGAGATATCGGACTACTGTGTATATTTTTTAAATTTTCTGACACCACTTAAAGTCAAGAAGGCCTCGCGACCCTCCGTGAAGCTTTGGCGACCCCTAGTGGGGGTCCTGACCCGCAGGTTGGGAACCACTTTACTTAAAGGGAAACAGCGATTTTACAGATCAAAGTCTGTTTCCAGGTCTTTTGGTCTCTATGTTAAAGCCTCTAGAGGGAGCTGTGTGATGTGACATCACCTGTCTCTCAAAGAGGCCTTTATAACTTTAAGCTTTAATATAATTTAAACAGGTAAGGTAATAAACTGACACCAGAGTGGATTTAAAGGTCCAGAGAGAAACATTGAGGAGGATCTATTATAATATTCATCTCGAGGGGCTTTAGTGGACTGATGCATCAGTGTTGGAGCTGCTGCAGGTGGACGCAGTTTGAACACCTGATGTCGCGTCCCTCCAGTTAGAGTCTAAATATAACAGCAGGTGAAAGTTAATTTATCATCACTGCAGCTCCTCAATCATCATTACTGTGGACAAACTGTATATTTATGGATCCACAACAAACAGATTATATTTAAGAATGAATGTAAAATATTTCATTCTGGGATATTCTGTAGCAGTAAAATCAAAGCAGACTATATTTTCTGTATTGTGTAAAAGTAAATACCAGGTTTTGGTAGTTTAATTAGTATTGATTCAGGTGTTCTTGCTGCAATCAGTACTTGAAATCATTTAATTCAGTTTACACCTGAGTCTAATCAGGCCTGTGTGTTTGTATCTGCTTGTCTCCAACAGGTCAGTGATTCACAGCTTTAAATCAAATGTTAAACTCAGAAGTTAAAGAACTTTCCCACAATGTCAGGAAAGAGGAAAACTTTAAGTTCAACCAGTGGTCGAGAGCAGTAACTAATATTCCTCCAGTTCAGAGCGTTCAGCTTCGAAAAGACAAAGACTGACAACTGTTATCTCCATTAGAGGGAGATTGTGGAGACAGAATTTAGAAACATTTGGGATCTTTTAGCCTCACGTTCCCACAAGCAGTGATAAAGGAATAGTCAATATCACTGATATTTGGTCATTTTAACCAAATTCCAGGACAATAAAGTGGAAATATTCACATGTAGTTTAGTACTTTCCCCCCCACAGACACATGACAAACTTTCAGCTTTACACAAACTTTTATTGTTTAAAGACAAACACTTTGAGATTTAAAGTTTGAATTTTGCTTTTTGGTGAGTGAAACATTTCTATTCAGATCTGAGTTAAATAAATGAGTAAAGCTTAAAAACAGTTAACTGATACCATGAAATTACACCACAACCTGCATGATTGCTTAATGACATCAGAAACATGATAGGACAACAAAAATCAAAGAAAATATCCATCAGGGGGAGACTCAAACATAAATAAGGCACTTAGACACTGGAGGTAGAACAGTCTCTAAAGATTGAAGTTATCGGTGTAAAACCAGCAGCTCAGGACTGACATGAAGGCGCACTCAAGTAAAATCTGCGTACCGAGAGACTTTTATAAAGACGTTGATTAAAGAGAAATAAGTGCCCAGAAAATCAAAAAATTCATAAAAACATTTTATTAAAAAACTAGTAGAGTTTCTCCACAGGTCGCTATCAACAATCTAATATAAAGTGCAAGAGAAATGTCCTCTGAAATGTAAAAAGTTCCCCTCAAGAACTGATCACAGCGGCCGCCATGTTCTTGATTCTCTCAGTCTTCTCGCCACCTGCAGGCGCAGCCACAGGTTGAGCTCAGGTGACAACATATGTAAAGTTTGTTACAAAATACACGTTTATTTTTTATTGAGTTAGTAGTTGTCGGCCGAATTGAGCAGAAGAATGACTGGTCAACAAATAACAAGCGGTTTTGTTGTCTTTTTTAGCTGGTGTTTCTAGAGTTGACGTGTTGTTGACGGAACGGACGTTAGGAATTGTTTCAAATGTGTATTTCTTAAAGGGAGGTGTTGGTGCATGTGAGCTTTTGGGGTAGGGTTTGCGAGGTTCATAATGGCTGATATGGGGAGGTTCGATTGTGTAAGCGTTTAGTCCCCCAACTACACG